ACACACACACACACAGACACACACACATAAATACATACACACGCCTAAATATTCCCTTTTTTCCAAAGAGGTTTCAGTGTTAATTCACACCCAGTATCTTTAATTAATCAAGAAGCAGACACAGTTAGTTTAATTCATGTAGAAATCTGATCAAATGTATCAAATGTCTCTTTGATTCTGTGGTGACATAATATTTGTAAAACTGTAGGGAGGGTCACCAGCTGTGAATTCATTTTCACCACATGATGTTGTGATAAGAACCTTGTTAGACCTCAGATCTGATTTCTCTTGGGCTGAACAAGACCACCAGTATTTCCTCTTACATCTTTTCCTTCGTTGATGAAAGAACAATATCCTGTTTAACCTTTAAAGCACATATTCACTGTATATGTTGTGGTTGAATAAGAATAATGAATGAGCAGCGGACATTTCACAACTCAGAACAATGATTTGTTCAAATGCATCAGGTTTTTGAAATGCTCTCTCACTGATCCTGTGTTTCTGTCTTTTTTCTTTACTCAATAATGTGACCTAACTGTGTTATAATGTCCTCTGGCTGTGTCCATTAGAAACTTCACCATTCGATTCATGCCCATCCCCATCATCGATGCCTCTCAGGCTCTGAAGACCAGTCCAGACAAAACAGAGGACGCCTTGTTAAAGGTACACTCATAGTTTCCATTTGTTCCTCCTCCTCTTGTCTATGATCTGTTGCTGTTTTCATAGTGTTTAAATCATTCATTTGGTTTTATTCTAATGACTGTGGTTTGGTTTCCTCCCTTAGATTGAGAATTATATCTACAGGAACCACGAGACCAGAAAATACCTACAGGAACAGGCTTATCGGCTTCAGCAGGGCATTGTCACCACAACTACACAACAGGTCTGTGAGACACACACAGACACACTTTTTTCATTGAACTATCAAGCAACTCTTAAACCACCAAGGTGACAGCAACATTTACATAATGTGATAAACAAGCCTTGTTATCCCTCCGAGCTAATGCATACTAATTATGCTAATAACGTTATTAGATTGCCGTGACCTGTGAATTCACCTCTTCTAAGCGTGTGACAGAAGTTAACGTTATCTTTGGCCTGAGTTGACAGCTGCCTGTACCCATCACAGACGTCTTCACCATGAGGACAGGAGGTGTTGACACAGTGGAGAGATGTTACCTCAGAGCGCAGAGTAAAAGAGAGGAGCGCTCACTCTACAGCTACTTCCGGGGAAAAATTAATTTCGACTTAACAAATCTCATTCGACTGATTGGAAATCAGATGGATATGGAAGACGTAGAACTGCAGTTGCTCTTAAATGTCATTAAGACACATCAGTTACTGTATCAGGACATCCACGAACCCTTCTGGGCTTTTGACTTATCACATAAAAACTCTCATGTCTTGTTGTTTTTCAGATGATTGACAGGATTTGTGTGAAGGTGCAGGACCACCTGAACTCTCTGAGGAACTCGGAGACGGACGCTATCTTGGAGGACGTCAGGTCAGCAGAGAACCTCATCAAAGACGCCAGAAATTCTAAAACGGTGAGAAAAGTGACTTTATCTTTTCTAGGATGGTAGAATGAATAGACATAGTATAATATGATTTGACCATGACACAAAAATACATGGTATGCAGAATTACTCTGCATTTATTGTTTGTTTTTTCTCTTATAAGTCTATAACTGTGTCCATGTCGTCCTCTTCGTCCCCTCAGCTGCTTCCTCACCTCTACCACCTCGGCTCAGCGTCCAGAGACGATGCAAACAGCTCCTCAGTGGGACCCATCCAGGAGAAACTGGAGTCTATGGCCGGGGAGGTGACAACAGTCATGGACCAACAACTCCAGGTAGAGATACAACATAAGCTGAATACCTGTTAAACCTAAAATCTAATACTAAGAAGGGATCGGAGGTTATTATGATAAAATAAAATGAACTATATTACATTATGATAACAAAGTGTGAAAACATGGATGCCACCTGTCGACGCTGAAAGTTAACCATCCAAACTTTTATCAGTTACACACTAGTTGAAATAAATTGACCCGCCTTGTTATCCTCACTCCTTTCAGACTCTGCTGGAGTCCATGGTGGACACTGCAGAGTCCCTGTGTCCCCACGTGATGAAGAGAAGTAATCTTCGTCCAGAGTTGGTGAAGACCAGCTCAGCCAAGATGGTTGTGCCCAAGAGCTTTGTCACCAAAACACTCCTGGAGCAGTCGGGGGTGGATATTATCAACAAGCTCAGGTGTGTGTTTGTGGGTTATATAGCACTTATATGCGTGTATATATATATATATACTGTATATGTATTGGGTTTCTAAAACACTTTCTCTGTGTCAGTGAGGTGAAGCTGAGTCTAGCGTCCTTCCTGTCTGATCGCATCGTTGATGAGATATTAGAGGCTCTTTCCACTTCACAACACACTCTGGTAAGATTACAGTCGTCACGGCTTTCAAATGGTTTATCGATTCATTCACAATGGCTGTTTATTTGAGCTCGCTAAACATATTTTCTGCTACAACTACCTTCACTGATTACTGATTATTCACAGATCTGAGTTACGTTGTTTTCATGTGATTAATAATTAGCAGCACTGTGTTTCCACCAAGTTTTAAAGGGTAGATCTAATCCTTTTCTTTGATTTCTCTTATTTCTTCTTCTCACTCATTTCCCCCATTACTAACTCTTCTATTTCCATCCAATCTTGCCAATCTTTGTCTTTTTTTATTAACCTTCTACATCACTTCTACCCTTCCCAGGCAGACCATTTGGTACGTCGAGGCCGCCCTCTGGTGCAGCAGGAGTCGGTGGATCTGGACGTCCCAGAGGAGAAGATCCCTAAGCGGGCATCGGCTGAAATATTAGAGGCAGAGAGGCTGGAGGATCTGGAGACGTGCATGGTAGGTTTGGGTGGGTGTGAGCTCAGAGTATGAACAGTGAAGTTATGTCAATGATTTAATTTAATTTGTAAAGAATCCACATAAGATTTTTTTTTTCATGTTACAGTTTGTTGATATTACCCTCTACTGGACACAACTCTTAATTTTCCCAAAAGCAGCAAAGGATTAAACAATTAGAGCAGCCTATAATAGTTGGCTTGTACGTACAGTTACATACGAGAGGCTAACAGAACATATTGAATAATATTGAATAGGTCTTGATGGGAGATAGTTTCTTTTAGCTCTAAATATTTAGCGTTATCTAGTAAATAGATACTTTTGTTGGCAATAGCAGCCTGATTGATGATATGACAGAAACATGCATGTTCGTCGAAGTCCTCATCTGTATGTTAATGCCTTCATACTCTTGCTCTTCCCTTTTTTTCATGCTTAATCCCTCTCTTCTACCTACCTCTCCTTTCTACTGTGAAAAGGCTGCACTAGAGCTCACAGCTGTCACGGCTGTCTCTCTTACTTTTTCCCTTTAATTCTTCAGCCTTACTGTTTGTTGTCTCTCTTTCTCTTCAATCTTCTGTTCCTCTGTTCTTCCTGCTCTTTCTACCTTTGCTCCATGGAGACTTTGTGCTGCACCAGTGTAAGTACTCTTGGACTGTCCCTCTAAACTCACCTTTCAAACTTTTCTGAAATTCTCACTGTCCTTTTTCCTTTTCTGTCTCTGTCCTCACTGCCTGCCTCACACACTCCTCTGTGCTATAGAGTTTTTCTACAGCACAGAGAGCTTCCTGCACTCGGACATTTTTCTTCATCTATTATAAAAAGAGTAGAAAGAAACAGTATGACTGTAGTAGATGCATACAGCTGTTTGTTTGTCACTTCATCACTCACTTTCCAAATTATATGTCACACTGTTACAATGCAATACATATTTTGAATGTGTCAAACCACATTGCACTGCTCATCTCCCAGGGTTTCAACAAGCTCTTAACTAGTCTAGTGTCAACTTTATAATTATTTACCAGTTATCAGCATATTTTTTGAAACAACAAAGCAATATAGCACTTGTGACTTTTATAAAGTTTTGTGGAGAAATGATTTGATGACCAACTTAGTTTGGAAAGAGAAGACTTGCATAGATTTGGCTGAATAATGTTTGGTCTTAATGCAAATATACTTTACAAATAAACTCCTGAATATTAATCTCAGCTACAGTTGAACTTGTTTTTTGCTGCTCAAATGCTGCTCATCACTGGGACATTTCTTATTAACAGTTTTAACTTTAATGTGCACACACACTTATATAGCTTTTGAACCCACTTATTCAGGCATAAAATGTACTAATGAAAGTTTCAGTTTTTGATTCACAGTTTTCACAAATATTCACTATTGTTTGTCTCCTCTTCAGATGACTCCTAAAACCAAGAGGAAAAGCATCCACAGCAGAATGCTTCGACCAGTGTCTCGTGCCTTTGGTATGTAGTTCATTTGAGTATTTTAGTTTATATTTCACATGACATTGACTGATACAACTTGTTGTAGATGCGAGTACTCTTGAATATTGAACTGATGTCTAATAACACACCTACAGAGATGGAGTTTGACCTGGACAAGGCTCTGGAGGACGTTCCCGTGCATCTGGAGGACACTTCGACATCATCTCAAACTCCGCCTACTCCGTCTCAGGTCTTTCCCAAACTGGAGCAACGTCTGCCGGGAAAAATGGTGGAGCTGCCATCTGAGGAGGAGAAGAAGCTGCAGCACTTCACCAAACTACGACCACGCAGGAACAAAAAAAGACATTCCAGCAAAGTACCTGTGAGTCAAAATAAATTTACGGCTGCACTTCAAATCTATAACATGACTTTGTCTCACATGGGTGGACTGTTTTTGAAAACATGCATGGAAACAGCATTTCCACTGTTTGTCCAGATACTGGTACCCAACCCTACCAGATATGGTTTCATATTCTCCAACTTCAACTTTCAGCAAATAAACAGTGCTCCACCTCAGGATGGGGAGCAGAACGGCCTCATGGGACGAGTGGATGAGGGTGTAGATGAGTTCTTCTCAAAAAAAGTCACCAAGATGGATTCCAAGTAAGAACAATGCAGTAACTATGTTCTCCTCATTACTGACTGACATGTATCAGATGTTATTCAAGTGGCAGTGTATTTAGGTATGAATGCCTGGTTGCAATATTTATTGTAACATACACATTAACCATGTTAAATGTTTTTCCGCCTGTCAGACGTTCCCTGAAGAATTCCGAGTCTCAAGATGGGGAGAAAAAGAAGAGTAAAGGAGGTTTCCTCAACCTCATCAAACGATCTTCCAAATCTGACAAAGCAGATAAATCAGAGAAAAACCAGACGACTCCTTTATCCTCTGGTCTGTCCTCAGCACCAGCCTCGGCCATCCCTGAGGAGCCCTCCTCACCAAAGGTGGCAGTGAAGAGCCCAGCACCTGAGTCAAAGTCAAGGTATAACAGAATGATTGTCCTGTTAACTACCAATACTGTCAGGCTTATATTGGTAATCTATGGGTATTTAACAGACGGTTTTACATACTTGTTTTATTCAACTGCTCAGTGAATGCACCAGTCGAGTCCAGCTTCACTAATACTTTCTGTCTTCACAGTAGAGATGCCTCCAGTCGCTCGCAGCCCGCAGACTACAGCAGCAGCTCAGACCGATCAGAAGAGCTGAGGACGCCCGATTCCATAGACGAGCCATGGGAGGGTTCAGATGGCAGGGGCAGTCCTCAGGGAGGGAGGCGGTACCCGGGAATGCAGATTATGGGCAGCGGCCTCCTGGCAGAGATGAAGGCTAAGCAGGAGAGGAGAGCACACAAGGTGAGGTGATTTAGACAGTCAGCAACATGTGGCTGAGGCTGTGCTGACTGCTGCATTAGCCTAAATATTGAATATCCTGTGCAGCTTCAAGGAAACAGTTATTTTCTTTATTGTTTACTCTGCCGATGATTGAACCGCAGATCAGATGAGTAAAATGACCTGAAGTTGAAATGGTTTTATAAGATATAAAGTGCAATTCACATACAAAAGTAGAAACATGGCATCCACAGAAGAGAATGACAAAAAAAAAAAAAAACCTCTGATGAAATATCATGTAACATGCTAAAACTAAGGTAAATGCATTCTATGTAAATCTTTTTAAAGTTTAGTGGAGACCTACTACAAGCTGTTGGTTGAAGCCATTTCTATTCATACATTTTTTTAAAAGATGACAATTATAGATTTACTAAGATATCTAAGATATCTATTGGTGTGTATATGTTAAGACGAGCAGCGAGGACACATTTTGTTTTGGAACAAGCTGCTGAAGGTGTTCAGCCTCCACCTGTCAAACCTGTTCTGTCAACACATGGTGGGTTGTAGCTGGGAGACAACATAAAATAAGAAACACTGACTGACACGCATACATGCATGCACGCACGGACAGATGCTAAGATTAGCATTTATCTCCAGGCTAGTCATTGTGCCAGTCGACATGTTGACATAAAAACACAAACAACCTAGATTTTTTTGCCAGAGGACAAGGTGGAAGGAGGAGGCGGAGGAGGAGGAGGGAAACGTGCAGAGGAAGAGATAAAAGCGTGAGAAGCAAATCTACAGAACAAGAAAGAGGGCTGAGCTGCAAATTCTCATGATTCACTGTAGGATGCAAATATTGTTCGTGTTTATATTACTTCAAAATTCCAGAATTCAATAAGACACCTTAAACTAAAACTAGTTTTCTCTCTTTCTTATGTCATTTATTCCTATTTCCTGAAAAAGCAAATTAATTCATATCTGAAATAAAGAAACACATAATTCCACAAAATTACTGGGGCAACATGTATCTACAGAGATTAATGAAGGCAACTGGTGTGTGTCAGCAATAAAGATGTGAGTTGGTGTGTGAGTGTATGAGTGTATGAGTGAGTGTAGTAAGAGGTTTATAGTGTTTGCAGCATTAGGGTTTTTTACTGACCTGATATCAGTGGCACTAAAGCTACTCCTGCCATCTGCTTGTTCTGGCTGGAGTCCACCTGTTTTATCTGACACAAAGGCGCCACCCTCTGTTGAAAGGTTGTACGTACATTTGGTATCACAAAACTGAACTAAAATTATAAGAGTTTAAATCTAAAAAATCAAATATATATAAAAAATTAACTTAAACTGTAAAATATTCTAGTCTTAAAATGTGGTCTTAGCATTATTGAGATTTTGGATAAGGGGTAATTTTACACACAACTTAGGTTTCATGTTTCTATGTTTCTTTTATTCTTCAAACTGAATAATGTCCATGTGTTTTTTCAGTCTTCCAGCCCTGATAGACCTGAGAGCAATCCAACAGGTGAGTTTTATTCTAAACATTTATTTTTCACTTGGGGCAATAAACCTCACTGAATAATATGATTTTGTTTCTGTTAGTAGAGGCTGATTGTTTTTTACTGCTGGAGTTTGCTGCTCAGAGTGTCTGTGTGGTGGTAGAGATGGGAATAGAGAACTGGTTCAAAATTGATAAAACCATCGAAATCAAACGAACCCCCTTCTTATCAATTCCTTTGATCAATACCAGCAGTGAGGATTGTAATGAGAGCACTGGGGCGTCAGGTATGACTGTCCACACAGAACATTGATTAGGAATCATTGAGGGAATCACTAAAGAGTTGGATCGATTAGAAGAATCAATAATTGCATCGGTATCAACAACATCATATCGATCCCCATCCCTCTGTGACAGAGAAGAGAGTAAAGTCACAGTTGAGCTCTGTGCACTGTAAAATAACTGCTGCACAGCCCTTGTTCTGTTTTTACTTATTTTTCTTCACATCAAATAATAAACAGAAATCTGATGTTTAAAAGTTTCTCATGAACAAATATCCGACACACTCTCTTTTATGTTTTTCAGCAACCAAATCTCAGCCCCCTACCCCAGAGAGCAGCAGGTCTCCCAGTGGTTCTAATAAACCAGACACTGGTTCTCCAGAAAAGACCAAGCCTGACACAGCCCCTCGTCTCAGAGCTACATCCTCCTCGAGTCCCCCGGGGGGACCAGTAGGTCCCAAGCCACCGATGCCGCAGGGGGCGAAGCCTGCCCTGGCTGCACGACCCAGCATCCCACACAAGCCCAGGACCACCAGTAGCAGCAGGAGCATAGGTATTAAACCAGCCCAAGACTTGGTCGTTGCACTGAGGGAATAGACGGATAATGTTTAAGGAACATACAGACATTTACCAGGGAAACCCAATGCTAAAGTACCATGTTTTTCATCTTTCTGACAGATGAGAGTTCAGATTCTCCCAGCAGCAGCAGTGCGTCTCCTAAAGTAGCAGTTCTCCCCACACTGAAGAGGGCGATGTCAGAGAAAGACAAGGAGGGTCAGACCAGTTTGCAGTCAGGAGGCTCCAACAAAACCACTCAGGAAGGTGGGTCGTAAGAAAATGTGTCAAAATCTTTGAGTATCTTTCCTAAGCCCAAAAACGCCCTGGTTTGGATGTTAATAGATAAATAGAAAGTGAAGTGAGCAGATTTTTTGGGGGCAGATTTCTCATACATAGACTGGAGGATGTTTGCTGTCACTGTCAGGATCTGACAGTGTGACAACCTCCCGATGGTCTCACGTATTTGCATTGTTCTCACGCAGGCTGACGGTCTTTCAACATGTCCATTATGACACATCAGACCGATAGATTCAGGTCACAACTCTCGCTCAGTTTCTCTCAAGCCTTTCATCGATTATCTATTATGTAACTGACCGTCTGAGGGCTTGGTGATTTTTTTTCATGCTTCCTTTTTTAGTGGTGGTGAAACCCTCTGGTGTCTGGCAGCACTACACACATATCATGATTTAATCTCACAACCTCTGTGCCAACCTCATTACAGAATAACTAGAATGGCACTCAGTAGAGCGCAGACCGCTGCAAAGGCCCAATAATCCCCTTAAATACAATTAAGCTTCACCAAATTTCACATACACATAGATATCAGTCCCCCTAAAAGGCCAGATTTTTTTTATATCTTGATCCCTGGAAAATCAAGACAAAATTGAAAAATGCAATGTTTAAGAACGTGCTAAAAAGAAATCCTGTATCTTCCCCCTGATCTACCAACAGTCTACAACTGTTACCATTATTATTTGGATCTTCGTCTCTGGGATTTTCCTAAACCTGCAAAGTTAAAAGTGGGACTGAGGTTTTCATTTCTTTCTGTTTTAGTTTGTTTATTCTAAGTGGATGTAAGTCCAGCATTAGAAGATGAGGCTCCAACTTACTATCATTTTAATCTTCTCTGTCTCTCTTTTCAGTGAGGACAGCGTCAGACCAGCGATCTAACACTGTCCGTACTAACTCCGAGGATCACGGCCCCTTGAAGAACAAGGACCAAACTCCAAACCCAGACAAGGACAAAGCAGGAGGCAGGAAGTCATCCGATTCTAGGGAGGAGGCAGATAAAGACTTTATTTTAATATGAGCAAAAAACTGTTGACAAGCCTCAGATGTTCTCCTTAAGAAGTGAAACTAAGGGGGGGATATGATATATATGTTTTTATTTATGTGAAGAGGTTGTACCTGTACTCTAGGTCCTGTCCGACCACAAAGTACTTATCATGTTTGGTTTGCAGGACGACCTGCTATAGTATCAGGTAATAGACAGTTTCCAATTCAATTTAATTTAATGATTTACAAAGAAAATATTTTGGGGCGTTTCCTTAATAATTTTCTGTCATGTCTCCTAGTAAACCAAACTAAATCTCTTTAGAGCTTCCGTCTCACAAACACAAATCAAGTTTTCAGGATTTGAGGAAATGGGTCGTGGGATGATCCAGTTTATTCAGCCAGTGAACGACAAAACCTGAAAGGGAGTGTAGGTTTGTAAAGTAATAAGAAAAAAAGAAACAGCAGAATTTTTGTGTAAAAAAAGAGAAAGAAAGAGACTGTGAATCTGAGTGTAAAATTCTTCCTTTAACTACTAATCTAAAGTCTTTTTACTTATATGTTGCAGTAGCTTTTCTCCCAGGGACCAAACACACAATAACAACACCACTACCACTGTACTGTACTTGAACTCTACTGTACATCAAACCGGACTGGGACCCTCGGTTTATTTGTATAGATGTATCGAGGAGCTACTTTCAGTACATGCAGGTTACTTTCCTTTATGCAATTCATTTTTTAACAGGAAAATACAGGTTCAGCTGAGAACGTCAGCAAAATAAATAAATCAGTAATACACTCTTGATGTTGCTTTGACAGTAAAAGGACGACAATAGACTAAATCATCACGTTCCTTCTCGTATGTGAGAGAATCGGAGTGATCATGTGTGTTTGTGCTTTGAGAGGACTGTAGTACACTTTAACTTCACTAACAACAATCAATAAGGCTTCAGCACTGTTAACACTCAGCAATCACTGTGGATGAAACGCATTCATCTTTATGTTTTACGTTCAGCCGCTGACGTCTTTTTTTAACGATGTGCTGACGGTCCAATGAAAGCAAAGAACTTACTCAGAAAGAGGAATGGCAAAGAGAATCTGATTTTCAACCTCTTCAGTTAGTTTTTGGTGTAAAAGCAGAACACTGAGTAAACTCCAGCCTGAAAACTCTTCTTCTTCCCTCTGCGTTTTCTAGAGAATCCTCCTTCAGGACTTTCAGGCTCAGCTCGCTTTCACTTTGCACTGTGCAATAACTTCTTCAGACTCACAGCATCGTAATCTCAACACAGCCTCTGTAAACGGTGCCTGAAAGTGAAGGTGAGCTGAGGGTAGCTGTATTTCGACCACATGGACCTCTGCTGGACTATTCTGTAATAACAACAACAGGTCTCAGGATGATTCCGCTCATATTTTTCTCTTATAAAAGCAAGAAATACCCTTTTCACACTGCTTCACTGTCTGTTTCTCTAATAGATCTTGGCAGCTTCATTTACAACCTTCAGATACAGACTCTGGCAGTTTTCCTAATGTTGTATTATGATATAATTTGGGGCATAAATCTGGCCTGTCAAATGAGCTTGTTTAAAACTACAGTGTATAGATTTTTCTTTGCTGTGTTACTTACTGAATATTTTGTTGTGTTGTGGCAGGCTGTAGTAAGAGCAGCAGATCTTATGCCTAATCAGTGTGAAAGGGGTACGACTTTAATTGTACTGTACAAGAGTCAAGATCATGTCCGAGGCCAAAGGTCTCACTGGTGCACCTTTTCCTGTGGCGTCCATTTCTCTGTAGGTTTAATCTTTGTTATCAGTTGTTATCACTGTACTTGATATCAATGACCACTCGGATTTTCAGCCTCAGTCCCAAAATCAAACAGCATCTTTGTGTTGAGTTCCAGAAAACTGGAACAGGAAAAAAAAAAAAAACGACTGTTGGCATTTGAAACCTTTACTGTTTTCCTGATGCACGAAACTTCTAGACACTGGTTTTGTTTTTCTGCGTAGAGTTTCAGAAACAGCTGGCAGTGTTTCTGTCGAGTCGTGTGAAAGACAAACTTACTGTTCGGCTCAGAAAAATGATCATCCACTGCATCTCTGTGGAGAAAGTGAAAATGACGAGTAGCATTGAGTCTAAACTCCAGTGTGTGTGTGCGTGTGTGTGTGTGAGACTGCATGACGTGGCTGTGAGTTGTACCGTATGTACAGTATATATGTGCTTTCATACATGTAGGTGTATGCATGTGTATATATGTATGTGTAATATATGCACATGTAATATACTCACTCACTGTGACTTATTCACACGCCTATGTGACCGCAGCAAACGCTTTATTGCTCTGGTACTAAGTTCACGTCTGTACTAGGGGTTTGTTTGTAACTTATTTGAAATTTAAAAAATTGTCTTTGAACTGTTGTTGTTTTTTCCCTCTCACTTGTACATTGTGTTCATAAATGTAGAAATTAATTCTTTGTACTTATTGATTTGTTATTACATGTAATCGATTACTTCCATCGTGGTTTCCCAAAAGAAATAATTTTATCGGTCTTGATACATTAGTTTGTCATGGATCAATATGTTTCACTAAGTCGTTCTGCTGGTGTTAGACATTTTCTTCATGCAAATATTAATTCTGATTAAAGTAATTTTACAGGATTTAAAATCTCTGCATTGTTTCTCTTTTCTTTTCTTTTTACTTCAGATGAGTTGAACATCTGTTGTGCGGTGTGATTATACCGCCACTAGATGGCAAATACAACGCTGCACTGCTCGCTCTTTCTCTCTCTCTCTCTCTCTCTCTCTCTCACTCATGCACAGAGAAGGTGTGGTTTTGGTTTTACTAAGTCACAAAGAGCATATGTCAAACAGGAAGGCTGCTGAACAGTGCATCAGCAGTTTGTCACCTCAGTCTGACTGACAGCAGCTCACTTTGTCAGCTCTCTTCATCAAACATGGATTGTGCCTTTGATAACCTGGATGCAGCCGGTTTCCTGGAAATCTGGCAACACTTTGATGCAGATGGTAAGAAGAGTTCATGACATGTCTTTATTTGTTTTCTGCATAAATGTACATTGAACAGGAAGCACGGTATGTTTCAACTCATCGTCCACTGTTACTAGAGCTAAAGGAGGAAAGTACTTCTATTGATTCAATATATGTGAATATTTGCTGTTGCAACTTATTTAATTTCTTAGCATCATCTTAAACATTATCTTAATAAAGAAAATGTAATTGGGTGTTCCTGTTTATACAAGTTAAAATCTAATATTTGATGAAAAGAGGAATTAATTCGTTTGTTTACTTTATTCACACTCTCACTCTCTCACATTTGATATGTGAAAAACGCAAACTTGTTTTATTCGATTTGTGACCTACACCTACTTCTAACACAGTTCTTTTTTTATTTGGACAGATAACGGCTACATTGAGGGCAAAGAGCTTGATGAGTTTTTCCGTCACATGATGAAGAAACTGGGTCCACAGGTAAATGAGCTTTGGATCAAATCATCCCAGCAGTTCAATATGACTCGGTGTGATACAGTGCACGTGAAGGGCAGTCTAACAGGTACAAAAAGATTGGAACATCATTTCCATCAGAGCATCAAAACTCACCGGAGGACACTTCATTATTGAGGATGGCTGTACTCCACTTACTAAAGATCCCACTTACACAGAGACCTCACAACAAGCGAGGGATGAGGGTGGCAACACTGTAGGTCACCAGAGAAGATGTAAAGTGTCTATGGCGTCTGTGGGTTGGAAACTCCAGGCAGTCGTTCGCTGCAAAAGGTTTTCCAAAAAATATCAAAAATTCAGATTGGCGTTATGTGTCTCGGTCTGATTTGAGCCTTTCAACTTTGTTCACTGTGTTTAGAAGGTTTTACTGTCTCCAACTCATTTCTTCTGCTTAAAACAGTCTGCGCTGGACATGTTGATGTTTTTCTTTATTGTATTATATGTTGTTGCACATGTTCTACAACAACAGTTGAAACTGCCATGAAAATCCGAGTTAACACTGATCAATTTTGAGTTTGTGGGAGACGATTTGTCCGAATCAAAGCATAAAATCAGCTTTTAGAAAAAACTAATTGTCTTTGGACTGAGACTTTGCAGAATTTGTGTGGGCAGCTGAACATCTGCAGCTGTCTGGATGGGTGTGGAGACGGTCAGGATGTTAGACACAATACAATTTTAGAGCTCTGGTCCCTGTCAAAGGAAAAGCATTTGACTTTGTTACAAATTGACCTGGGGGGAAATATACGTGTGTGTGTGTGTGTGTGTGTGTGTGTGTGTGTGTGTGTGTGTGTGTGTGTGTGTGTGTGTGTGTTAAAGTGAGATAATGACATATCGTTTACTGAGCAATGTTAAATGCTCCTATGCTGCCTAAAGACTGAGTGCTCCCCCCAACCATTTATAATAGAAAATTATATTAGTGTACAGTAAAACTGTTGTGTGTGTGTGTGTGTGTGTGTGTGTGTGTGTGTGTGTGTGTGTGTGTGTGTGTCCTGGACTCCCTTGGATACTAATGAGGCTGCACTAAAACAAAGAGACCACCGACCTCGGGTCACTTAGTCTCTCTGGTGTTTGCTCTTTCATTAACGCCCCCAGGATAATGAGTGTGTATGTGAAGATACAGAAACACTCATTCTGTTGAAGGCTCGTGTTTCAGAGAGCAGTCAGTCTGAGTGAATTGATCCCGAGGGGAAACTCTGGGATTCCTGCTCCACAGTCTGACATCACTCCGAGTCAGTTACTCTGTGAAGCTGACCTGCTCCACTGGCAGGTTTCCTTCAAAAAACCCAACGATCTGTCACGGTCTCCTTTGCTGCTGCTGAGACTGAAGACGCTGTCTGACACTGCACTTCATTTCCTCTTTCATCCACACGATATCAAAGTGTGTGTCAAATTAAAGGGATAGTTCCCCCCAAAATTAAAATGCACCCATTATCTACTTAGCACTATGCCAATGGAGGGGCGGATATTCTTCTGCTAGTTAGAGAATGAGTGAATTTTCATTTTTGGGTGAACTATCCCTTTCATTTGCACAAGTTTATGTTGAGGGGACATTCAAATCTCGACTGGTTGATAGTTTGTCTCTCAAAGCCTTTTTTACCATCATTACCGCATTTTACAATCAGTACTGAGGACTGAGATAGCAGTGTATTGAGATATATATGAGATATAGCTTCATCCTCAGTTCAGAATGATAATAATAAGACTATGACTCAGTGGAAATTTAGAATACTGTTAAGAGAGCATGATGTACTGTGGATGAAAATATTGTAACATTTAAAAACTTCCTCCCACTATCTAGATATGAACCTAAAATATCCTGCATTGAAACATGTTGCACATTAGGAGCCATAGTCTTTGCAGTAGTGATCAGGGGATGGAGTCAGGAATCAAGACACCTCTGCTTCACTCATGAGAGAAGATTAAACCTACTCTTAATC